CGACGTGATGGACTTTCAGGAGTTCAGAGCCTTCTTCAAGGCAATGGCCTAGTTAGTCACCACCGCTTCTTCACTTCGTAAACTAACTCGAGGTCTAGGCCATTGCCTTGAAGAAGGGTAATCTGTTTCCAAACCGTAAAGACAGTCCTCCGGTCAGTGGAGAACACCGCTGACGAAGCCAACATTTTTCTCCACTGACTGGAGGACGCATGGCCAGAAGGTGAGCCATCTCCCATCGCACTCCTGAATATCTTGCTGATGGGGTATTAACGAGCCAAGTAGCACCAAGAAGGTAGAGGTAAGCAATGACAGAGACTTGATACCCATCCTCTTGCTAACCATTCTTTGAAAGCAAGTGAGCTTGCTTCGACTCATTTTTGAGTGTCATGCGAGTCATCGCTAACTTAATGGGCCAGGGTAGCTACCTTCGCCAAGTCCGGCGGTAAGGAAGGGCTCGGCATACATGATGGCCTAGGGATCTATTCACTAACAAGCCCCATTTAGAGTCCAATCGCCGAGGCTAGGCTGGCTATTCAGCCAAGCCAAAAAGACAGGGGTGGGGAAGGGGGAGGATGAAGACAGTGAGGCGAAGGGTGGTGGTGGTGGTGGTGGTGACAGAGAGCAGGGGCAGAAAAGGGGAAGAAAGAGGGAAAGGATGACGACGACGACGACGACGACGACAACGAGAAGATAAAACAGAAATGGGGAAGTGGGAGAAGAGTAGAAAGAGTAGAGTTGTGGTGGGAAAAGGAGGCAGAGGCAGAAGAGAAACAACCGGGGGGGAGAAGCAAAAGCAGAAGGGAGCCATAAAGGAGAATCAAGTAGGAGAATACAGACCATTCACGAAACCAACGGATCCATTTCAATTATATCCTGCAAAGCGCAATATACAGTATCGACACAGAACAAGATATGGCCACTCCACGTGAACTGTTCTTAGTACCCCTTCCAAAATTAAAGCTAGAGTTTCTACTCACAATCAAGCATAAGATTGTTTTTCTGGATCTTCTTCGATTGTTCAACTTCCAGTCGAGCCCTTGATAGGCCTCGAGCACTACTAAGCCACCGCGATCACTCAACCCCGATGATTCAGGCCCGTAGTCATCATTAATTTCCCATCCGCTATCACCCCAAACGTTCCCACATCCAGTTACACATCTCTTTTTAATCAGAAATACCAATAGGCTTCATTCCCTTGGGGAAATTGAGGTTGAGCCCAACGATGGTCAAGCTATGAGATACAACCGGAGGGTGTAATCGTTCGTGTGATTAGCTTTCAAGGCTAGATTCAATATCAGCAAACAATATTAAGATGATAAATGAATACTCACGGACACACGTAATTTGAATTCATCTAGCTGCAAGTCAATTGTTATACGAATTAGGTCCTATCCAAGATCGGCCGCTGCGAAGCGGTGGAAATGTTCGTGATCCTTGAGCGACCTCCTCCCCTCAAGCGATGGCGCGGCAATTCCAGATGAACCATCAGTCACGAAATACAAATGCGGTCGACAGCTTCAAACAAGGGCAACTTGGCCTCCCTCCACCCACCATTCCCGAATGGGGGGATCAACTGAGCCCGTCGCTGGAAACCTCAGCCGCTTCCTTTCTTCCCGAGTCTTTCTCTTTTTCGCCACCAGAGCATTTTTACAATATTTATATAGACGCCCTTTGTCTGTAACAGGCTCCAGCCGGCGTTGAACAATAATCAATCAGTCAGTCAGACGATGGCCTCATATACCACCACAGCATAACGGCAATGCCATCGTCCGCATCCGGATCGATATGACAGGACAAGGACAAACGAGAGAAAACATGTCACAGAAAAGAAGCAAGAACGGAATAAATTACGCCGAGTTACTGAGCTTTGACCTTTGGGTAGTTACATGCTTTCCCCCCGCTGTAGGTTTAATAAAGAACCCTACGCATCAAATAAGTTCTCTCCTCCCACTCGATTTATTTACTACAGAATACTTTAATATCATTGATCCCAGGGAGGTGTGCAGTCATTTCACTTACCAGCAGAATCCCATAAAGCAGGAACAGGTCTTGCTGCTCCGACTGCAGGGGCGTTTGGTGTTTATCGAGCATTGGCGTGTCTCCAACCCGTTTGCATCCATTTCGACGGGACTAGCCAGAGCCAGGCCTGCAAAGATGGCGAGGAGAAAGTATGAGAACTGCATTTTGGAGCCCGGTGAGTGTGTCTTCTAAATGTCGGAGAAAGTGCGCTGGTTTGCTGAGTTCATGAAAAGATTGGAGCTCAAGATGCAGAGGATGCAATTGGGATTAAACGGTTGGATCCCGCGGGCTTTTATGTCATATCTTGGTAACAGACTTAGCTGAAATCATGCAGATGCCCTTGACGTCCATGAATCCCTCCCAGGTCTTCGTCAGATCCTTGTGGCAAGTCCTACGTTACGTCGTCCGAGGAACTTGGTCATGAAACCCCGTGTCTAGTATCTGGAAATTCAACCTTGTTCCTCTTTCCGGGTAAATCGGATTCCTACTGTAACCAGGCGCGGCGGAGTTTTCAGTGCGGCACGGATCCCGTTGCAGATCAACGTTCGTACTTTGGTGTCTTGTTAGCTTCGCCTACATGTCTTTACCTTCCCAATATAGAGACGCCTCTGTAAGAGATATATTATTGCATTAAGGCCATGAATCCTGAATCTGGCGATTCCATAATCAGGTCGGATTCCCCGGATCAGTGACATTCTTCCTCAAAGATTTTCCAAGTATGCCACAATTGTTTGATGAATTGAGTTCAACTGTCTTCTATCGGATGGTAATATTCCTATTCTTCATAAGTTCATTTCTGAGTATACTGTCGAAGCAATCGCTTGTTGAAACGGCGACCTGCGCGCCAGAGGGATGCGTTGCCATTTCCAACAATTAATTGTTTCGATACTTTGGCGCCGTGTCCAGCAGAGATCCTTACTCGCTTGCCATAAGTAGACTATCAATCAGGAAACAGCATAATTGAAGCCTGGGGAATTAATAATACCTTCCATCCCTTTGTGGTGGCAGGGCGGCTTGTCTCAAACCCCAGTAGCAATCACGTTGGATTCATGGCTATTGCTTCTCTTGTACAAACACGTCCCTTGACAGGAACTCTCTGTCCCTCTGAGTGCATTGGGTTACGTTCCCTCGGACTGGGCTGTTTCTCGAGCCAGCACTAATAGCCTAAGCTGGATCATAGCATGGTGTCAACATCAGCTACTTCGCGAAGATATCGTTGGATATTTTGGGTTTGCTTGGGAAATAACCTCTCTGAAGATGATACCGCTTTTGGCTGCTTGTACTCTATTATCACAAGTCAAATGTTGGTACAGTAATGACGGAGTTTCCTAGGCGGCCGACACCGACCGAGGGCGGATCTCTTCTCCCTGCACCAAAGATGCTGAGAAATTATAGGTTTGCTTATAGAAAATATCCAACTGTTTCTATTAGATTGATAATCCTTCGCTGAATGAGCGCCTTGTCCTCCAGAAGGCAGCTGTTTTACAGTGACTACTCTGAATAGAGTACCAAAGCCTCGCCACTCTACAAGCGATCGCCTACGCCGCATCCTTGTCCTCGATTAATTTCAAACCACTTCTTCGAGGCACCACCACGGAGCCACAAGCGTAAAGATATTCGAGTATTATGATACTGTTTTCGTTTCAAGTGGTGGCCCTCAATATACCCAACCAGAAGAAGACCATTCGATAGGAAGGAAGAGGCAAAGGTTGCTAGCCCATCCCTTCAGGAGTTAATGCAAAAGCTAATTAATGCGACTTGCAATGAGAGTGTCTTGGATTCACGGGAAATCAAGAGATCATGGAGCTGATGGTGTTGTTGTTGCATTGTTCAGTGTTCGTAATCGGTCAACCTGAATACCACCCGTTTTCCTGCCTCGTCTCTCACCTTGCCTTTGGATTGTTTGCTTCGTAGCTATTGTTTCTGACCGCTCTTATGGCCTCATATTTTAGAATTGCTAGGAAATATCTCTACTTAGGTTCTTCTTCCTAATTCAGCTTGGCCCCTTCTTTCTTGAAGTCAAGGGCCGTTGTTCTAACAGTACTCAACGTATTACATACTACTATAATTCTATTTCACTTGCGATGGTGTCATAATGGAGCGATATCACAACAACTTCAGCCCTAAGCACCATCACTAGGATCAATAACGTTTACCGATCGAGATGCTGACGGCAAGACAAAGTGTTATCGCATCCAGCCATTGTCAAAACTGTGCAGAAATATCCTCGAAATGATGACACCTAATACCGACATCAGACTCGTGTTTGAAAGCATTTGGCCAAACAGACTTTGCCGCAGCGAGGAAATTGCTGAGTGGTAAGCGCGTGGAGAGACTTCCGCAATGGAACCATTTGTATTGCAACAGGACACCCCAACATAGACGAATCTAGGGAATATATAAGTAGATGTGCAATTATTCGCTAGACACCTATTAACTGTGAAGATTGGCAGAGGATGGACACTCGTTAGCATCTTCACCTTTCTCATTCTCCACGCTCAACGGCCCTCGGTCTCATCCTGTGCCATCGCACCACCACCATCTCTTTTGCCAACCACTTTTACTCGCGCATGCAAACCAAATGCATCATATCGTCTGACTCCCCTTTCGAGGGCCACAGGAGCTGGTCCTACGCAGCCAACTTCATGATTTGCCCCGCTATTACCACAATCATCATTCTAGTCCTCGGTCTGCTCCTTCCTTACTTTGTCTTAAGAGGCTCCTCGAGAAAACGGTCACGTGCGACACCGCCTGCCCAAAAATACTATCGCATCCAGCAACCCTCGCCTCTTTGAGAAACGAGCTTCTGCGTAAGTTGGGCTATCCCAGCACAAGACAACATGCAGCCAACCTCTCACTAACCTCCATACGCTCCGTCCGTCGAAATCGCAGCGCAACCTCCGTGCCAACCAACGCTCCCAAAAACTTGGAACACCCTGTTGGTGCAGACATCGTCAGGACTACGCCCTAATACGAGACGCATGCCACAATGGAGTGAGAAGCATCAGGTATGACGGACCAAGCCGGAGTAACTCCTGTCTATCGTCGTTGCAGTTCACGGTCTAACAGTCACGCTGCTGGAGGCTCTAGAAGCAAAAGTAGCAACATGATCTAGTTGCGAGATGTCTTCCCCGAAAACGTCCCTAAAACTCGAATCCTCGTCTACGTATACGAGCCAGTCATTACATACAAGAACAACAAGATTTCCATCACCGGCCTGGCCAAGGGTTTGCTAGAGTCCTACAAGGCCTTTTTCGAAGCGACGCAGATTCTACTCTCGTCATTCCTAGCAATCACTGCACCGGTTCGGACATTTCAAAGACAACTCGTTGGCCGATGATACTCATTGGCCACAACTTGGAGGGGCTTCTGATTCAAAAGGCTGTGCGGTCTCCTATTTCTACTTTCCTCGGGTTCCTCAATCATTTAGACCACAGGTCTTGACCATTGTATTGGGCGGAAGCAAAGACCTGCAAAATAACGACTTGCCGATGTCCTCATACGGTTTAGTGATCTTATGGCTTAGTGTTCATTGGGGTTTCCAATCTTGGTATAAGGCTCGCGAAGCTCAAGATAATCACTTCCGGTCAGATAAGCGCAGAGCTCACACATGGTCAAGAGCTTGACTCGAAATCAGAGCCAACTCCAATAGCTTCGAAGCCTCCAAGACAGGTTATCGGTTGTCACAAAAAGCTGGGTCCTCCGATGAGGATTGTATCACATTACGATGAACCAAAGACTGCCACCATTACTGTTCGTCTACCTATGTTCCCCCCTGAGGCTGGGAGACAGCACGCTAACAATAACGTTTATCAGTTGGAAAACCTGGAAAAATTATCCCGAGGGGGTATTCCTTGTTCCATAGCGGCTCAGGGATCAGCATGCCGAGCTTATGACAAACAGCCTCTACCCCTCCGACCATTCCAACTTGACCAACCTCTTCGGCCAAGCAGATCCAAACTACATGCTAGTGTCAAAGGATAGGGTCTTTACTATCTGTCTTCAATATTTCCGTGAAAGAGGCTGTTTTCCACCATTCGCGTTATTCTGCAGAGGGGTACCTTTGTTTGTATCCATATTGCGATCAGGAAACTCAAAGATATACGAGATGTTTCCCGAGAGCCTACTCAGAATCTTCTTACTACGGGAGCTGGATGACTTGCACACTACCTTCTTCGAAGGCTGCCTTTAAAGAGGATCACGAGGCGGCCATTTCAACCTCCGTGGTTCACACGATGACACCACTTCTATGCAAGTAACGGAAGCAGATGTGACGATTATGCTTACCAACTCAAATAGCCTGGCAGAGTTTTCCAAGCCCGAGCCCTTCTTGACGATGCTTCCATCCGAGCCAACTTGGAGTCTTGTCGATGTAATCGATGCTACGGTTTCCCGATACTTCAGTCTTTACTGGATTCTCTGAGATCCCTCCCGAAGACATGGTCGGAAGGGAATAAATCTTAGCTCCAGACCTGAATAACCAGACACCATGCCAGAAAGAACGCTCAGAAGGCGTCCGGCTTTAAATGACTTCGATTTAGAGGAAAAGCCTTCAATTTAGAACAATCGGATGACCTCTTCAGCAGACGGTGAACTTCAGCAGACGGTGAACTTCAGCAGACGGTGAACTTCAGCAGACGGTGAAAGCCATCCTATTACCAAGGTCTATACATCAAAACCCCTTTCTATTTTAGCCATCGAATAACTGGGATCTTCATATCGAGAGCGCCGGGGACCGACCCCGGAGATTAGGACACCAAAACCTAACGTGCATCCTCCAATGCCCAACAATTTTATATTCAGCTCCAGCGACTAGCAAAGTTCGAAGATCCTGATCAAACTCGCTTCGGAGGAGAGATATTGGAAAAGTTCCTTCACTCAGCTCCTCTTATTGTCGTCTTCCAGGACTCTACGTGGCTGGCGAGGGCTGTCAGAAACAAGACTATGCCGAACATTCCGGATACATTTGCAGATGGATGCTTACGTTTGGCTGCGAGGGGGGGATTTATCTCCTAAAGTGCTACAGTAAGACGTCTTACTGAGACTTGATACCACCAGGGAAGATGTCACCTCGGTAACGGGGCAATTGGTAAACGGCAAGGAGATGCTCGAGCTGCTGCTGGAAAGCTGTTACCGAGAAGTGCGATGATCAATTCCAGATTGGACCTAAAGTGGTTATAGAAATCGCTGCCGCCCAGAATAAAAGCAGTGCATTAAAGAAGCCACGAAGGGAGAAAGGAGATGCCATCCAACTTACATTTGAGGTGACTAACAGCAGCGGATAGCCAGTAAAGAAACAACACGAAATCTCAGTCAGATTGACAATGTACCGAAATTAACACCAGATGCAGGGACAAATGGTGAGTGAGATTGTCACGTTATTTATTTCCTTGATTATTTTTTCTGCTAAATGATTTGCCGCTTTCAATATTTTATGAAAATGTATTGCTAGCAGACTGAGTGTAAGTGAAGCATCCCATGCCAACGACCGATTTCGTTATCGATAAGCGGCAGACACAAAAAAATTAATGCCCCGCGATGGCCAGAATCTCAACTCAAGACGTCATTTGCTTCCATCTTTACCATATGTCCGAAAATAAGTTCAGCCGTTCGCCCTAGGTAGCCGTTTAGAATCGGAGCATTACATTTTCCCGTCTTCTCCTGCCTCGCGACCGGGTAATCAAGCCCATACCTCACAGCCACCATGGCTGCCCCCGCCGACACCGTCGATGCCCCTCTCGAGGTCCAACAGTCGAGCCCAGCAACACCAGTCGAGTCTCCAGCCCCTGCCGAGCCGTCGACCACCAAGCCCATCCATAGCCTCGTCCTCGACACGGGCCCTCTCATCAAGAATGACCCTCCCGCCGATGTGCTGCGAGCCCGCGCCGAGCAACTCTACATCCTCCCCTCCGTCCTGCCCGAAATCCGTGACGCTGCCACCCGCACCCGCGTGGAGACCACTCTGATGCCCTTTGTCACCGTGCGCGCGCCCAGACCTGCCAGCATCAAGATCATAACCGACTTTGCTCGCCGCACTGGCGATCTCGAGGTCCTGAGTCGCCCTGATATACAGGTTCTCGCCCTCGCCTACGAGCTCGAGTGCGAACGCAATGGTGGGGACTGGAGGCTGAGGAGTACTCCGGGACAGAAGACTCTTAATGGGAAGCCGCCATCGAAAGAGGGCGAGGTCAAAGAGGGCGAGACACCAGCACAGCCAGCCGAGAGTCAAGACACACAAGAACAGCCTTCAGCCGAGTCCCAAACCGACCAGGCACCAGAGACCTCGTTAGAACAGACGGTGGAGCAACTGAGCATTGAGGAATCTGGCGAGAAGAAGAGCGACGATAGCCCAGCGGCAGACGCAACCACCAAGACAGAAGAGACTCAGCCGGCAGAAGAAGACAAGGTCGAAGAGGTCGTGGTCGTCGAGGACGATGGCGAAGACTCAGATGACCTCAAAGACGAGAACGACGAAGACGAGGACGATGGCGGCTGGATCACCCCGTCCAACGTCAAGAAGCACAAGGCCAAGGACACCAACACATCCACCTCCTCCGGCGCGGCGCCCAAAACCCTCCAGGCCGCCGTCCTCACCTCCGACTTCGCCATGCAGAACGTCGCCCTCCGCATGAACCTCAACCTCGTCTCCCCGGCCCTGACCCGCATCTCGCACCTGCGCACCTGGGTCCTCCGCTGCCACGGCTGCTTCCAGATCACCCGCGCCATGGACCGCCGCTTCTGCCCCTCGTGCGGCCAGCCCACCCTGCTGCGCGCCGCCTGCACCGTCGACGACCGCACCGGCGCCCTGACCGTCCACCTCAAGCGCAACTTCCAGTGGAACAACCGCGGCAACGTCTACAGCGTGCCCAAGCCCGTCCACGGCTCCGCCAACGGCCGCGCGCCCAAGACCAAGGGCACCCACGGCGGCAAGAACGGCTGGGGCCGCGACCTGATCCTGTCCGAGGACCAGAAGGAGTACACCCGCGCCCACGACGAGCAGCGCCGCCAGCGGAAGAAGGACATCATGGACGACGACTTCCTGCCCGGGCTCATCAGCGGCGACAGGGCCGGCGCGGGCGGCAAAATTCGCGTCGGCGCCGGGAGGAACATCAACGGCAGGAAGAAGAGGTAGATACCCTAGTACATAGAACGTGACAGAACGTGACGATGATCTCCTTTTTTTGGTTACGGTAGGGACAACGGGATAGAACAAAAGTATATGAACGTTAATGAATTCTTTTTTTTATATTGAGATGGAAGAAAAGCTGCCTTCTGAGTGTAGAACTTTTCTTCCCCCGATCGGTGTATACCAATGATCAAGAAATACCCAACGCCGAGTTACTGTAGCAAAGTCGTTTCGCCCTTGTAGAAAAACAAAACCTCCCACTCTTCCCCATATCTAGTTCCGCGACATTTCCCCTCGCTGCCTGTTTCACGTCTCCATATCCTTCGCGTCCGCGCTTCCTCTCGATCTCGGTCGTGTCATTTACAGCTCCTCAGCCTCTGCGGAAAAAAACAAGTCAGTATGCAACCTCGGCCCTGTTCAGGAGAAGTTCCCACGTACTCTGCTGGGTGAGAAGGAGACCGAAACGCCTCTTCATGGTCACGCGCTGGCGCGACCACTTGTCGTCGGGAGAGAAGCGGGCGGGGTGGGCGGACTTGGTGACCTGGCCGTGGGCGACCTTCTTGAGGGTGTAGAGGCGCTTGCCTTCAGCGTCGAGGGTGTACATCAGATGCATGGCGGGCGAAGTTTTGTTGCTTTGCGCTGTGGCGATTTCGAGTGTTTCAGATGATTTGTTTGTCTTGTAATATCGTCAATTGAGCGGGTTTAGAGGTTCGCGGCGGGCTTTTGAATTGTTGGCTGGCGTCTGGAAACTGGAGATGGTCGGCTTGGTGGTTTGGAGCATCAGAAAATTTCCAACCTGGTCACGTGTGTGCGCTCGAGATTGCTATCGATAAGCCATTGGGAAAGTTTAGTGGCCCATATTTACCCGAGGGGCTTCCGGAGCGGAAAGAGCAATTGGCAAGTTGCTTATGAATGACCTAACCTAGAGCAGACCCAGGCTGACAACCTGTTAACCTGTTGACCGCATTTCTAGATTCAAGATTAAGGTATCGCCTCTATTTTTATATATATCATCCAGAATCTCCTGTTTCCATTTCAAATTTTTAGTCTCCTGAATCAGGGCCTAATCCCTAGGTTTCTCAGCATGCTACAGAAGGCAAACCTGACTTCAGTCAATTAACACTTTCCCCTCTTAAGATGGACTCTACAGAGGGCAAGAGCGACTCAGCCCTGCAGCCACTGCCAGCATATTGTATGAGGCAAAGCAGGATAACCGACTTCTTCCCCCAGACCGAAAATACGCTGGCTGCTCACAACTCACTCCCTGCCAGAAGCCCACGGAAACGACCACGTCTCTCTTTTCTATCTCTGCCTAGGACAGTCCGTGAGAATGTGTACGAGTACGCCGGCGTGCCGACACAGATGATCATCGAACTGAACCGATGGACTAGAGACGATCATCTCTCGGAGCTCATGGACGAGTCGGATACCGAGCTGCTTGAATTTGACCCGCTTGACTATTCCCAACTTACTGTCCCTTATGGGCTTCTAGCCACATCACGCATCGTGCGCGAAGAGGTTGAGGAGAAGATATATTCCTCAAACATCATCGCCGCCTCGCTATGGCTCCCACGGGGACTGCATCCGCTCGAACGGCTGAGCGACACGTCGCTTAGAGCGCTCAGAAGTCTGGTGGTGTTTCTATGCCCATGCCACTGCCTCGAGCCGTTTTGTCGGAAGAACTCGCGTCAAACAGATGCAGAACGGGATTACTTCCAAACGCACGAGTACAGACCGTCAGAGGGGCACTCTCGTCAACTCGACTGCATCTCACGAAGGGACAAGGGAACCATCGCGCAGTGGAAGAGAATCTGCGCCCGGCTCGCCTCCAACGTCCCTCCTGGCCAGCTGGAACTCCACCTCATTGCAGACGTGGCGAACATACAGACAGCGCAGATAGTCCTGGAACCGTTGCTGGATCTTCCTGTCTTAAAAGAGGCGGCCATCAGCCTTCGTGACGAGCCGAACAAATCCCTTCAAGCTCTAGCGCACAGGACATCACTGCGACTCGTCGGCACGGGGGAAGAACCTTTTCAACCCTTTCGCTTCCTGGATCTGCCGCTCGACCTGCAGCTGGAGATACTCAAATTCACGCCCCTAAATGTTTCTGATGACGTCTGCTGGGGCCCTTCAGAGAGGTTCTACAGTCGTGACTGGGGAACTTGTATTGGCCAAGAACCACATCACATGATCCAACCAGAGGTCTTCTGTCGCATACTAGCAGCAGCGTACAGTGCACACTGCCAATGCACCGGCTCGCCGGCGCCGGGCTACTTCCTCGTCAGCAAGGCCTTCGGCGCTGTTGCCCGTGCCGTGTTCTACTCACAGAATAAGTTCGAGGTCGTGCCCTCGGACTCGTATCCGTTGAGCGGTCCGGAATCGAATGCCGATGCTCAAGGCAGATGCAAGTTCGTCGTCTCGTCCTTCTTTGGGAGGATGCCCCCCTCTGCGATTACAAATCTTTCACATGTAAGCCTGGTATTCCCACCGATGACGCCGGCGTACCTGCTGCCGGAACAGAAGGCCTGGGGGGCGTGGCTAGACGCCGTCGACCTCCTCGAGCGACACGCGAACCTGCCAGGTCTCAAGCTCGAGATCCACTTTGCCGACCTGGACGTCATGCCTGTCGAAGACCTGTTGGCCCGTCGAATCCGCAGCAAGCCGGAGGACGAGAAGGAAATGTTCGATGCGTACGTGCGCATCCTCGGCCCGTTGAGGAAGTTGGCCGGGCTGAGGGCCTTCTTCGTCTACGCGGCGTGGCCGACGCATGACGAGGCTGAGCCGGAACGGAAAGCGGATGAGACGAGGCTGGAGCAGATGGTCATGGGCGACGGGTACGATTCGACGAGATGGGGGAAGTGCGAAGGCAGCCATTGGAGCCAGCCAGACAGGTTTTGGTGGACACAGTATCATTGAAAAGACTTGGAGCCGAGGGCCTTGATATCCAGCGTCGAGTTTTCTATCACAACAACGTTCTTGTCTCGTGGCAAAAAATAGTAGGCTAGATGATTCAGCTAGATAAAGCCACATCCTCATTCCTTATCACTAGCGACTCCGAATCTATTCATGACTAGTAGTGCGCAATTCTCTAAAGTGACCAGATGTATAATTCTTAAACAAAAGTGAGGAGCAGGGCATTTAGTCAATCAGATGAGTAAATTAAAAAGAGGCACCTTTGAATCAAAGACGGCAAGGATAGTGTCCAGTGAGTGAGACACAGCTATGGGAGCAAGCATCACATTGCAATGCAAATCCATCAAGAGCTGCTTGCATCGCGACTTTATTGACTGTCTAATAAAGTTCACTACACCTCAAGAGCTAGTAGAATAGAAACAATCTCCTCAATGTGCCTCATTTTTCTCACCCCTCTTGACAATAACAAATACAAGCAAGCACTCAATCAAGGGCCCCCCATGCTAGGGGCTGTGAGACAACCTCCAGTCACTGGGCTGTTGGTCGCTAGAAATGAATAACCAAGATGCATAACAATATGCCAAAAAAAAATTCCAAGTCAATGAGACGGATCATCTCTCCATCAAAATAACAAGTGACAATCTGCATCATCCGCGTACTATCCAAGAAAAAACGTTGAAAAAAGGAAGAAAGCAAAGGGAACAAGTGCCGGTGGGAGATTTTACTCGTCCTCGCCGACACGGGCTCCCTTCGTACCAGTCCATCCGTCGCGCTCATAGAAGCGGAAGACCAAATCGTACTCCTCAAAGTCGTGGACGATTCGGTCAACGCGACGGTACCCCCGGACGGGGTCGACAAGCTTCTGCTTGAGCGGGCCGTTGCCATCGCCCATGCCGTATGGGTTGGCGCTCTTGCCCTTGCCTTCAAACAGGGTCACGCTGAACCGGCCAGGCTTGAAGATGTTGACGACATTCTCAATGATCTCCGCTGTGGAGCGGCCAGAGGCTCCGGCGGGCACATTGGTCTCGAACGAGGCAAAAGAGCACTCCGGCTCAGGCGTGACGTGCACTGTGAAGTAGTGGCCGGCATCCTTCTCATCCTTTCCGCCCTCAGAAGGATGGGCTGCCGGGATCACACCGTTGGCGGAGAAGCCGCAAGGGCCAAAGAGATAGGCATCAACACGAGCATCTGGGTAGGTGCTGGTTGGGTAGACGTCGGAGAGGCCGCAGTTCTCCGAGACGACGGTGCCTAGCGCATGGCCCTCGGTGGTGAGAGCTTCGGTGGCATCCAGCTTCTGAGGCTCGCCATCGAGTTCCATTTCCTCCCCGTTTCCAAAAACATCCACTTCGTCAAGGGTACCAAGGCTGCCAACTGCCTTGTCCCGAGCCTGCTTCGCCTCGGCAGCCAACTTATCGCTCGCGACCGCACTCGCGTGCGAAAGATAAAACTGTTTGGCATTCTCGGGATCGAGGTCCGTCATGAGGATCTCGAGCGTCTCGTCGCTGTGCTCATCATACATTCCAGCTCCGACCAGAGCTGTGCCGGCCGGGATCTTGACATGGCGGCCAGCTACAGGCTCCAAGGCCTCGGATTCAGGGGTTCGAGGGGGAGTCAAAGCTTGGTTGGGGGAGGTGATGTAGAGATACCAATGGTCACCATTCATCTTTCCCACCATGTAAGCGCTGCCTCCATCAAACGTGTCATCGAGGAACTTGACCTCTTGCTTCCAGCTGCGGTGGGGACCACGCTGCTTGTCTGGGAACAGAAAGTTCTTGCGGCTGTAAAAGACCCGGTAAGGGGTGGCAGCAGCATGAATATCGGTGACCGAAGCCGCATTGTGGAATGGGAACCCAGCCTCGGTGGCAGCAATGTGAAGCATGCGGCGAAGACCCAAGAGCAAAGTAGTTGTGCCACAGGTCTTGAGAATCAGCTTGTGGGGGAAGACGAAGAAGCTGGACTCGGAGAGAAGATAGGCATCCACAGGATCAGACTTGAGCACAGAAAGGATCTTGCAATTAACCATATCCAACATGGTGACCCATGTATCGGCGTGCACGGTCTTCAGACCGTCGGGACGAGCGCCAGGCGGGAGCGCCGTGGCGCTTGGGGCGAACCACACCTCGAGGAGCTTCTCAGGGCCTGGTTATTATTTCGTTAGTATTGTAGGAGCAAAAGCAAGTGATATCAGGACTGCCGCTGTCGCAGGAGCAGCAAACGTACCTTCAAAGGCATTGGAAGAATCGAGATCGGCGGCAACATCATGATTAATAGTCAAATGAGGTGTCGCATCCGATGGCGAAAAGGTGTAGTTGTTGGGAACCGACTGGCTGATCATACTCGTAGCGGCGAGGGGTCGTCGACTTCGATTAAGTAGGTACAGAGACGGGCAGGTGATCACGAGAGATCGGAGAATGGAATCAGGAGGCGGATTGTGTTTCTTTGCCCGTATGGCAGAGTCCGCGGAGCACTAGCTGCCACTCAAACAGACCTTGCGGCGTCCGTTTGAGAGAGTAGGCCCACAGGAGGGTAGGGCTCGTAAATGCTGGCGGAAGCCAGCTGCAATCAGTTATATGATGGAATCAGTCTAACGTCTCTGTAGAGGGACGTTATGGAGGCTGGAGACGAAGCTTGACGAAGCTACCAAAGCGAGGTTGGATGTTGGCAAGAGGATCCGGATGTCGGGGGGCGGAATGGCGGGCGAAGCTGCTGGGAGCTGCTGTAATGTTGCGGTATCTGGTGGCGGTGCTTGGATATCCCGAAGGGGTGCTATCGAGGCCTGGATGGAGGTTAGCAAGAGAGAGGCATGATTGGTAAAGGCGGGGAGCACGCGAGCAGAAACATACTTGGAAGGGCGGGAGAAGAGGAACCGAAGGAGGTCTGTCGAGGGCATAGAAGGCCAGAGGAGGTGAAACAAGAGTCAGGCGGGCAAGACGGTCGCGGGATGGTTCACGGCCGTCTCAAGAGGTGTGCTGGGTGTTCCAGAGGACTAGTGATGTAATTTTGACATTGATGAAAGGGGACAGAATCTAGCAACGGATCAAGGCACAATCTAAGCTGTCGAGAGGAGAAACAAGCTTTGGTGGTCGTGTGAGTTGATGCCCTGTTGGGATTGTGGCTTGGTCGCGGATGGCAGAAACTGAAGCTTCTGATTGTCTAGCGGAAAAGGGGGGCTGGCGGCGAGCTGACGCAAGATGGTTGTTTGCTGTTTGTGATTGCTTCCGAATGCAAAGTCGGTGAGAGATTAATGGGAGAGGAGGATTGAGAGGTGATGGATCGGATCGAGAACAGAAAGCTGAAGTACGGCGAGCGAAGTACCTCGAGGTCACGCACAAAACGGAGCTGGCAGATTGGCCAGCAGCGTCATTCTACAGCGGGGGCGGGCAAAAAAAAAAAATAGGTAGGAAAAAATCTGGCGCACAGGCGGGGCCCCTTCCTCCAGCGTCATAGGCCATAGTGCCCGCAGCGCTATCCCAGGACCTGTAGCTGCCGCATAGCGCTCCACTGTCTGAATTCGCTGCGGCAATTGGTGCGAATAACTGGGGCCTCCCGGGCACAGAACATGAGCTTCTTCGTTCATTGGGCTGAGCTCAATTTCACGAGCCAGCCCAACCATTCGGGACAGAGGCGAGGGCAAGAATCATTCCATTCTACCCACAACCCTCGCCTGCGGTACGTCCTCCGGGAGCCGGCCAGTGCTTCCACCACAGCAAAGACCTCCCGACAGCATCCACTGCATGAACAAGACAAGGTTCGGTACGTTATGTCCATCCATACCAACCAAAACCTTGGAATATGTGGATATCCCAGACACCGATGCAGCACCACCTCAGCCATTGGCAATCAAGCCGTAAATCGCGGGCACAAACCAAGCACCTGCGACATCCGCTGCACAAACGATGGACCACCACCAAGGGGCGATGTCCGACCCGCGAGACACCAACAAGCCGCGCGTAACCCAGACATGCAGATGAGAGTTCAATCTACCCAAAACAGCCAAAATACGGTGAATTGCAACATCGATGGCGAATGCGCATTTACCCAATTGGCCCAGCGCGTGCCAGCGGAAAGCTTCGTACCCTCCTTGTCACCGCAAACAATCATCCCCAAGCCAGTAGATTCGTGTCTACCCTGTACCTCCACATCCATTGGCTTGTTTCTCTTAGTTACCTTGCGTAGTTTGCTGCAACATCCATCACCTTGAACGTTACTTGTCGAGCAATCAGTGTTGCTCTCAATGTTGCTTTATTGATCCAAACCAGCCTGTAGGACGACCATCCGGGTTGTGCCGCAGTGGTCATACCCTGGTCCCTGTTCCACACCTCGCATGGAAGATCACTTACGGCGGAAGCTTCCCCCAGTCGGGTTTTTTCCCATATGTCATGATACATAACGCGGGCAATTCTGGAATTTCGATTGCCAGATTATCTAATTTCCATCTTGGGCTGCGATGGCGTCTTCGCGTTTATGCAGGGCTGTTCTTTCTACCTCCTAAATAAGCATCTATCGCGCAAGTACATTCGTTTGGGTCATCATGTTACGGGAAAGGTAGACTTGGCTCTTCAGTTATTTTGATTTGATGCTTGGCGCTTTGTGCTCTATTGCGACCCAGGCTCTCTACTACCATCCCTCTTTTACACAGCAGCTACAGTGCGTGACCCTGCGGTCTACAATCTTGCCATCACAGGTTTCTGGCTGAGTGCCAGAAAGGAAGTGATTGCTTTGGGTGAATCGTGGGCGGAAGAGTTATTGGCAGCACTGGCTCGCTCCGTGGTGAGCAGCCCTCTCCCAACCCTCTGTACGCCTAGACAGGCGCGGGAATATTCAATCCCACTGTATTGAATTGGGATGCATCGTAGCCCTCGTTGGAAGGGAAGAGAGCTGTCGAGACGCAGCGGATCGTGGCTTGTGATGGCAGAAAGTTGAGATAGATCTTCATCCCAATAGACTACCGTATCTCACCTCCCGTCCCCAGCCTGGACGGCCTGCACCACCTGCTCAGTGAT